TGTGTGTGTGTGCGTGCGTGCGTGCGTGCGTGCGTGCGTGCGTGCGTGTTAGGAATTATTTTTGTGAGTTTTTTTTTTTTTTGTTTTTTTTGTCTGTCTAACATGTGTGATCACCACCTGATCAGAATAAAGTTAGTAGGTGTGTGAGCCCTCCTCTGAGCCACAGAAAAACCCGGAGACAAGAAAACAGGAGCCTTGATAGGTTAGCTCTTAATGAGGGTTTTACAAGCAGATGATGTAGCCATGTTGGGACTTCGGGTGCTCCCTCTGTTTTAGCCCCATTTGTTTCCCTCCCATAAAATAGCCCTTTCCCTTGTCTCACTGGTTTATCCCTCCCAACCCCGCTGTGATGGATTCACGTTATTCCTGCTAAGGATTTCACAGTCCGCCAGGTAGTGTCCGCAGGCTTTCCTGGTTTGTGTGAAAGCCTCGCGAGTGTGGGAATGTCATCTCTGTGATCCCTTTTTGAAACACGCTGCTTCACCCAGGATCATGCCCACTGCCTGCTGGGACAATCCCGCCTCTCTTGCTGCAGGATAGAGATTATGTTCTCCTGTCCACCCCCGCGACTTCCCAACCCATAATACCAAGCTATGATTCACCTCTATGTGAGACCGAATGTACATAAGCAATATGATTGAGCACAAATACACCAATAAGCCGCACAGTGAGCGGACGTACTATAATTCAGTGAGCACAAGCCAAGGTTGAGGTCGAATCTATTTCACTTTGAATGGGTTTGAAAGCTGAAAGCGTGTCAAATTGCACCATGGCCTTTGTCCCCAATCTGACGGTTCATAAATCAAATCCAATTGGTGCTGAAAACTTGTTGAAGGCCAAGATGCCCAACGTTGACCAAATCACAGTGAGTTTTCAACCCAAAAAAACATGCAAGTCGATGAGTCGATGACAAGATACCGCCAGGGATAAGAGAATGTATGAATATCGAAGTGGAGTGAGATGAGGTGAGGCATCGCGAGTTGGCAGACAGATCAGAGAGAATTGCAAGTGTGGAATGAGCCAAAAGCGACAAAAGAGAAACAATAACAGTCAGATCAGGCCGTGATAAGGATGCTGTAGGGAAGAAGATCCGCTCGTTCGGCCTCCCTTGCTCTTTATCACGGGAGTCACTACCTGAGCCCTTTTTCTTGTTTAGGGGTCAATGCACAGATGTGAACGTGCTGTCGTCCCGAATTTGCAAAGATGCTGTCGTGTGACTGTTGCAAGAAGCTTAGCCCGCTCCCCCCAAAGCAAACACTTCTGATGCTGTAAATGCATCACTCGCACACGCGCAAGCAGTTGTAGTGCTTAACAAGGAAGGTAATTGACTACAATGGGTAGTATATAGGAGTGAAAAATGGGCTGAAATCGACTGGAGGCTGTAAGCTCTGGAAGAGAAGTCAATAAGAAATTAAACTCCATGAAGGTGAGAGACGCATGACTTCATGGCGGTGTGTGAAAGGAGATCCATATATGCAGACGGGCGAGAAAATATATAATTGCTTGTAAACATGGCAACGCTTACCTCTCCATCGACTTGTGCCCGTGTTTTTAGGTACTCCAAGATGAATGATCCTGCAGACTGGTTGTCTATTAACAGAACCAATGGGCAGATAGTGACCACGGCGATCCTCGACAGGGAGTCTGTCTATGTGAAAAACAACATATATGAAGCCACCTTCCTGGCAACAGATAACGGTAAGACGTATACCGGTACATATTTAACAAAAATTCTGGTCTCTTAATGTACATTACCACTTACAGGCAGAACATTTTACTGTTTCACAGGACTTTGTCCTTTAGTATTTGTTTAATTTTACAATTTTCATGTAAAAAGACACACCCAAAAATAAACAAATAAAAAAGATAGATACATTGAAAATTTAGCTTTAGATTTAGTCCATTGATGTATGCCGCGTACACAAAGTAAGACACATAACTTTTTGGGAAAAATGTTTGCGCAGCCCTCTGCTGCCTTTTAATGCAGCAATGTAACAAGATTTCCCAAAAATGAAAATGTGCAGTAGGTGTCAACAAGCGGGGCATGTCAGCTGCACTTTTTCAGTGAGCAGCTTTTGTCCCCTACAGTTTGTTGCCATCCAAAATCTATGAAAGCAGATCAAAACGGCGACACGACAAGCACTTGGACCAGGCGGAAAACAACTGCCGATATCATCAGCGCTTTGGTCTATACAGCAAATGACACTTGGATGGCCCAATCATGTCACTTGGACAATTGAACACGCTGAATTTAGATGATCAATTTATTCCACCAAGAGAGCAACGCATTGCGCGACGATCCTCAAGGCATATACTGTACTGTAATAATATATAATATCCTCGACTGTGAATGCTACCTACGTAGCGATAAGTAAACCCAGCGGCATCCATCTTGCTTTGCCATTGGTAAAACGCACCTAGCTTGAATACATTGATTCCCCCACAGTGTTTGCACATTATTTTCCGTTGAAAATGGCACAGTGTGTGGTATACGGTTGTCTAGAAGCTCTACATGCACATTTCAGCGGCAAGAATGCGGTTGCAAATTTTCTCTCAGAAGGTACACAGTTTCTGAGTGCTACTCAAAGATTTGTCTGTCTTGTCCAAGCCGAAACACGTCACCGGCTTGAGACCCTGGCCGCCAAGTCGGCCGCTGCACCCTCTGTGAAGGCTCTGAGGGGTGAGGTTTGACGAACGTATACTCACACAGTACAAGCAGGCATCCTTTACGTTGCATTGACTCTGCTGCTGCGCTAACCTAGCATGGAGCCTCTCACTCTCAAGGCGTAACTAATCAATTTGCACTCAATGGAACATTATACCGATGTAAACCTTTGGTATTTCTTGGTTTGAAGGGGTCATGCCTGGATAGGGACAGAAGGATTACATCATCCTTTCTTTTGGCTCGTGTAATACTTTTTGTTGGAGTGCATCAGCCTATGTTGAAGGACAAATATATACAGACGGATACAAACAGCCAGAGGCTGGGAGAGCAGCAACAGCAGCAGCATTTGTAATCCCGGAATTAAAAATAAAGCAGGCAGCAAGGTTACCAGATCGCTTGCCAGTATGCAAGGGGCATCATATGGTCAGACTCAGTGAATAGTTTAAGTTATGATAAAGAAAGAGGAAGACAAGATCTTATCCATGAAACATTGCGACATTTATTTGGTTCCTGCTCATGTTGGATATATGGCAAATGAATTCGCAGATTTTTGCGAAGTGTGCTCAGAAAAAGAACGCCATTAACATTCATATGGATTCCAAATGGTAAAGCTCATTCATTAAATGAGAAAGAAATTACAGTGATCTCGCTAACTCAATGGGAAAAAAAAACAGTGTTGTAACATTGTAACATTTTTGGTTTGCTGTTTTTCTAAACAAAAGAATACTGCTAGAAATACCGTTACGGCAGTGGCGGGCCGTGCATTTCAACCTTAGGCCTTCAGTGACGTCACATACAAACACAATATAGGCTGGTCAAGCAGCACTTAATTTCAGGAGCATTTAAAACCATCAAGTATGTATTCCCAATTAAGAGCAGGAAACTAAATTTACAGATATTGTCCAAAATAAAAAGATGATTTAAAAATACGAAATAAAATGCCACCCAAATTACACTGTGTGATCAAGTCTGTCCAATAAATTGTGCAATGTCGCAGTTTCATATAAGACACCAACCAAACAATAACAAAACAAACTATTCTTTGAAAATAAAGTAAACAGATCATTTGCATTTTGAAAATCGGCGATACAACAGCAAATAACTGACATAACTGACGAACTAATAACTGACTAACAGCTGAGATTGAACGAACTTTCGTGCACGAAGGTGACTACAATGCGCCATTATAAATTGCAGGTGAGCAGATTTATTTGATACATGTTTGTCATTTTATTTCGTTACCATGAATTTAATACTAACGATTGAAAATCGGCGATACAACAGCAAATAACCGACATAACTGACTAAATAATAACTGACGAACAGCTGAGATTGAACGAACTTTCGTGCACGAAGGTGACTACAATGCGCCATTATAAATTGCAGGTGAGCAGATTTATTTGATACATGTTTGTATCTTTGTCA